TCTCTCCCCACACATATTTTCTGGGCGTCTGCCTTCCCCCCCCCCCACTTCCCCTCCCACACCAACAGGTAGGACACAAAGAGAACAGGACTCCCCAGACTCTCCCCCCTTCGGCGGTGGACAAGCCTCCCTTTAGCAGACCTCCCCTTAACGAAAACGGCCTGGGACCGAAACCGACGGCCTGGGACCGAAACCGACGGACCAGGAAAGCGAAGGGGCCCTGGGACACACACACGACACACACACACACACACACACACACACACACACATAACGAGACACAAAGAACAGGACTCCCCATACTTTCCCCATCTATCTTCTGGGCTTCTGCCTTCCCCCCCCCCCACTTCCCATAGTTTCCCAGATCTCTTCTGGGAAATCGACGACTCATTGTGTCTGTGTGTGTTTCTTTGGCCTCCTGAGAACAGTCGGGGGCGTCAAAAAGGGGGGCGTCCAAGAGGGGGGGGGGGGTGCAAATCATGCCTGACGGCACGTGCGCGGCCCAGGGGGGGTGCCAGGGACGTCATGAAGCAAGAAGAGGCACCACGGGATCCGGGGAAAAATCATGGCCCCCGCCATGATTTCCCCCCCCCCCTTAGTCATCCCCCCCCCTCTCTGCCGCCCCCGATCCCTCCTGAGCGAGCATGAAGGGGCCCCAGGACACACAATTAAATACACACAAATAACAGGATTCCCCATATTTTCCCATATTTTCTGGGCTTTTGTCTTCCCCCCCACTTCCCATATTTTTCGACGATTCATTGTGTCTGTGTGTTTGTTTCCCTCCTGAAAGCAGGGGGGGCGACCACGGCGAGCAGGCGAAGGCGGCTCCCTGGAGAGTGGGGCCCGCGCAGGGCGGCGCCGCCCCGTGCCCGCGGGGGGGCACGGCGACGGGGGTGGCCCCCGGACGCCGCCCTGCTGCAGCTCTGCGCCGCCGCCTCGCTCCTCCTCCTCCTCCCCCTCCTCCTCCCTCCTCCTCCTCCTCCTCCTCCTCCTCCTCCTCCTCCTCCTCCTCCCTCCATCCTCCTCCTCCTCCTCCTTCCTCCTCCTCCTCCTCCTCTCCTCCCTCCTCCTCCTCCCTCCTCCTCCTCCCCTCCTCCTCCTCCTCGCTCCTCCTCCTCCTCTCCTCTTTCCTCCTCCTCCTCCTCCCTCCTCCCCCTCCATCCCTCGCCCCCTTCCCCTCCTCTCCTCCTCCTCCTCCTCCTCCTCCTCCTCCTCCTCCTCCCCCTCCTCCTCCTCCTCCTCCTCCTCGCCAGCGCTCGGGCGTCCGTTCACCGTGCAGTCTTCGATTTCGTGCGCGTATTCTTCGCCAAAGGATCAAGGCATGTTTCGCCGATAGTTTTTCGTGCGCGTATTTTTCGTGCGCGTATTACTTTTTTTTCGCGCGCGTATTTTCCGCGCGCGTATGTTCCCGCCGATCCTCTCCCCCTCGAGGGTCCTCGCCGATATATTTCGGCCCCCGGTGGGCCCGAATACGTCCATGTCCACCGCCCGCCGGGGCTCCGCAAACTGACCCTCCAGGCGGTGGTCGTGTATAAACTCCCGCCTCGGGTCGAATTCCGCCTCCCCGCGCGCCAAGCCTCTGGCGAGAGGTCACTCCTACGTGTAGGTCGGGCATGTCCCACTACGGGCGGATTTTGGCAGAACAATGGAAGATTGGCGTTTGATGGACTCTGTTCGAAGATTCCTCCTGCAGAGGGGCATGCCCGACTTGATCTTACGTGCTCGCCACCGTGCCGCTGGGCACGGAGTGAACGTGTCCTCAGGTCCTGGGCCCGAGCCTCTGTGAAGGGGCCCTGGGACACACAAATAAAGACACACAAATAACCAAACTCCCCATATTTCCCTACATTTTCCGGGTGTTTGTCTCCCCCCCCACTTCCCATCTTTTCCCATGTCTTCTTGGGAATCGACGATTGATTGTGTCTGTGTGCTTTTTCCCCTCTTGACTCTGAGCCTCAGTCCTCACTCCGGAAGAGTCTCGGGAGCGGCCAAGAGGGGGGTGTCCAAGAGGGGGGGGTGCAAATCATGACTGGCGGCATGTGCGCGGCCCAGCGGGGGGAGCCAGGGACGTAATGAAATAAGAAGAGGCGCCACGAGATCTGGGGAAATATCATGGCCCCCGCCATGATATCCACCTCCCTCTGGTCATCACCCCCCTCTTTTCCGCCCCCGAACTCTGAGCCTCAGCCCTCACTCTGGAAGAGTCTTCGAGGGCACCGGACCCCGAACCCTCAAACCTCCCGGGGCTCTGCGCCGGCCCGCTGGGGCCTCCCGCTGCCCGCCGCGGCGTGTCGCATGACTTCTTCTTACCAGCCTCGAACGTATCCCTATTCCCAAGATTGACACGCCAAAAGGCGATGACAATCTTAGGGATTCGCCCTCAAACAATAAGGGAATCCCTGAGATCGAAATCGTGATGAGGAGGTGCCCAGCATAGGGATAGGGATATGTTCCAGGCTGGTAATCTTCGGGCCCAGGAGGGCCCGAGCCCACAGCCCGGGCACGGTGGCGGGCTGGGCCGAAGGCCACCAGCCGGAAGCCGGGCAAGGGCTGCCAAATCCGTGGCGGCTAAAATCGACCTCCGGGAAGCTGTCTTCGTCCTTCCGGGAAGGAGCCCGTGGACCGTTTCGCGTGCCGCGCCGCCTCCCGGGAAGCTGTCTTTTTTCCCTCCGGGGGGACCGCTTTAGCAGCCACGGCTTTAGCAGCCCTCGCCCAGCTTTCGAACCAGATAGCCGAGCCAGCGCGCCACCGCCGCAGTCGGGTCGGGCGAAAGGGGGGGATAGCAAAGGGGGGGGTTGATAATCAGCTCGGGTAGCTGACTTTCCCATCGCCTCCCGGCGCTGGAGGCGGCCGTGTATCGAGGTCATGGGCCCTCGGTGGGGCCGAAACCAGCTGCCTGCAGCAAATTTCGTAACCCCCCCTGTCCCAATCTTCCCAAGCTCTTCGGCACCGCCTGCACCCCGCGCCCTCCGGCCGCCTGAGGCCCCGCCCGCCCGCGCCCCGTCTCCCCAATTTAGTGCTTTGCGCGCGCCCCGCCTGGCTCTCTTAACCGGAAGAGGCCCGCTCTCGACCCGCAGACCAAAAAAGTCCCAGTCTTCCCCTTTCCTCCGGCCCGGCGCAGGAGCCCACCGCACCGACGACTGCCCCCTCTCCGCCTCCCGCATCCCGGGGCCCGCGGCGGCCTCGGCAGGCCGAGCGCGGCCTGGGCAGGGGCCCCCTCTGCGCCCGCGCGGTGCGCCTGCGCACCGCGCGGGCGCGGAACAGCGAGCGCCACGAGCGGTAAGAGGAGGAGGAGGAGGAGGAAGAGGAGGAGGAGGAGGAGGAAGAGGAGAAGGAGGAGGAGGAGGAGGAGGAGGAGGAGGAGGGAGGAGGAGGGAGGAGGAGGGAGGAGGGGGCGTGCAGTGGAAGAACGAATGAGTTTCGCGTGCTCGCCTTCTCTCGGGCTCCGACGGCCGAGGACGGCCCCAGAGGCCTGCAGGAGAGCCCCAGGACGGCCCAAGAAGCCCCACAGGAGGTCCCCCAGGCGGCCCCAGAGACTTCCAGGACGGCTATGCGTGCGAGCGTGGTAAGCTTGCCACGAGCGTTACGTCGGGCGTCTCCCCCTACAGGGGGATTCTCGACGAAACCAAAAAAATATCCCAAAAATGCTCCGAAATTGCAGCAAAAATAGTCCCAATACTATCTTTCGACTATTTTGGGATTTTCCCCCTGTAGAGGGACAGACCCGACTTAACACGAGCGATGGACAGGCACGCTCCACCACTCGCAGGGGAACTGCTCGCCGATGGCCTGGATCCGCCGCGGGGAAGTCATGATGCATCACGCCGAGGCGAACATGTGGCGGACTCCGGAGACCCTGAACCCAAAAATACTGTCATCTCTTGGGGGCGCATGTTTTACTTCCGTCACCTTCCGCCGCCCTTCCGCTGGCTTCCGCCGGCGGAGGCTGCCTCGATTCACTTCCGCCGACCTTCCGCCCTTCCGCCGCCTTCCGCCGAGGAAGAGATGGCAACTCCCTCGGTCCTCGAAGGCAAGGCCCTTTCTGGAACGCTCCATGTACTTTTCGGACGTCTGCGAGCAAGCACTCCGCGAGCAGTGGAGAGCGCTCGGTGAACGGAGGCCCAGCGCCTCGGAAGAAGGAAGTCCTGGGAGACCGCCTCGTCTCGCCGGGCGGCCGTGCCGCGGCAGGAGGGGCAGCCCAGCCGCCGCACGGGCAGCGCAGGCCGTCTCGAGATGACGGCAGGGGGCGTGCCACAAGTGCGCGCCCCTGGTGCTGCCAGCAGGCAGCGTGCGACTGGTAGAGCAGCGCACTCCATCGGAAGCACGGCAGGCAGAAGAGGACGATCAGTCTGCAGTGCCCTGGCACGTAATTACCTCTTCGTGTGGCTATGCTGCACTTGCTCGTGCCCGACACGTTCTGAGTCAGGGCGGCACGAGCTACCTCACACCGCTCTTTCCTCTTTCCATCCTCCTCCTCCTCCTCCTCCTCCTCCTCCTCCTCTTCCTCATCCTCCTCCTCCTCCTCCTCTCTGCTCCTCCTCCTCCTCCTCCTCCTCCTCCTCCTCCTCCTCCTCCTCCTCGTCCTCCTCCTTCTCTCTGCCTCTTCTCCTTCTCCTCCTCCTCCTCCGCCCTCATCTTCTCCTTCTCGTCCTGCCTCCTCCTCCTCCTCCTCCTCCTCCCTCTCGTTCTGCTTTCCCCCTGATGTTCCCCCCTTTCCCTCTTCCTTCGCCTCCTCCCTCCTTCCTCCTCTTGGCCCTGGCCAAGGATATGACACAGGGAAGGAGGAGTGAAGGGTGAGGAGGAGGGGCAGAATAGGAAGTGGAGGAGGCGGAGCCGGAGGGGGAGGAGGTCGAGGGGGAAAGAAGAGCTTGGGAAGAAGAAGAAGAAGAAGATGCGGAAAAAGAACCACAATAATCACAAGGAGGAGGGAGAGCGGGAGGAGAGGGACCCTTGCGACCACTCAGGAGCCCCACAACCCCTCCCGAGCCTCCCGAAAGCTACAGCACTATCGTGTCGAAGGCCTCGCCGTCGTAGCGCGGGGCGTCATGACCTCGACGCGGCCCCCGCCTCCCTCCGTGTCGGCAGGGACGGCGAGACTGCCCGGATGTGCCCACTGGCTATGCACCGGTGCCTGTTCGTGTGGTGTCCGTTCCGTGGGCGCCCGCGTGGGCCCCTCCCCGCTGTCCGATGCGGGCAGGACTTGCCCCAGGCCTGGAACACATCCTGGACCGGCTTTGGACCAGATTCGCCCCTCCGCAAGGGCGACGAGGAGAACGAGGAGGGGGAGGGGAGGAGGAACAGGAAGGGCGAGGAGGAGCAGGAGGAAGGGCCAGATGCGGTCCAGATGCAGGAAAAGCTGACTCCAATGGCGCCGCCCAGGGCCCTCATGAACAGACATCGAATTTTCACGTCAAGCAGCACTGCACAACCTCGGCACTGCGCAGCCTCTGGGTGACGACGTCAGGTCCGAGAAACGTGACCGCGGATCTGAAAAACGTGACCTACGGGGGGGGGGGATGCCCTTCAGACGAAAGGCGAATGCCGCACGTCTTCCAAGCACACTACTGTGCCAGTCCTCAGCACTCACTGCGCCCTGGAATGATCAAGGCTCGGTCTCGGGGGTCGCGGGGATTCGAAACTTTGCAAGAACAAATTGACTGTATAACTGAACATCAACTGTTGGAGGCCCGCGCGGATTTCTCGGATCCGGGCTGGGGACCCCCCCTGCCGGACGCGCGGCGCGCGCCAGAGGCGGCGCTGGACGCGCCGCAGGGCGGGGCCTCGCGCCGATCCAAGAGACCAGCGCGGAGCCCCAAAAGTTTATGCCAATGCAATGCCGTTCGTTCTTGTTCGATGCTGTGCGCCTGGCAGAATCACCTGTGGGCGGACCCTGCTCATCCCTGCTGAGTGAGCCAAGTCGGCCCGCGCTTCTTCCACGGAGACGACCAAATATGTTGGAAACACTACGGCGCAAACCAGCTCTCTGCACGGGACACACTAGTCAGCAGCAGTGAAGCGCGTATCGCACTAGAGAGATCACACTTTGAAGCAGCTCTTGAGATGTCATGTTTGCCTCCCGGGGGCGCTCTCGGAGAGCAGGCCACTCCTGCAGAGGCCCACTCGGGCAGAAGCCGCTGCTGCTGCCGGGAGCGGCGCCCATGCGGAAGAGAGTAGAGCGCCAGCCCAGCGCAACACACAACGAAGTCTCGAGCGGAATCGCCGCTTCCGTTGGGACGGCGGTGGTCGGCGGCGAGGAGGAGCACTTAAAGAGCAAGAAGGGAGGACGTCCCGAGCGGGAGCCGCTCCGGCAGGGGCCCGCGCCAGCAGCGGCCAGCCGGCACAGCCCGGAGGCGGTCTGTTGGTCCGCGGCCGCAGGAGGAGTCCCGCGGCGGTCGAGAAGCGGCGGGTCGCGCTCGGAGCACGGCGAGGCACGAGGAGAAGAGAAGGTGCCGAGGCGCGAGGCACAGCCGGGATCGACCTACTTACTTGGAAGGGGCCCTGGGGACACACGAATGCAGACACACAAATGAACAGGAGCCCCCATAGTTTCCCATCTGTTCTGGGTTCCTGTCTTCCCCCCACTGCCCCCACATTTTCCCAGATTTTCGGGGGAATCGACGATTCACTGTGTCTGTGTGTGTTTTTGTCCCCTCCTGATTCATGATGAACGAGGGGGTGGGGTCGCGACCCTCCCAGACGAGCAATTCTAGATCCTTCCCCAAAAAAAGACCAGCCATACGAGGGCAGCCTTGTGCCCAGACCCCGCGGAACCTCCAAGGCAGCTCAAATCCGACCCCCCCAAAAACCAAGTCCCCCCCCCTTTCGAATCATGAAATCTGGACTACCGATAAGCACATCAAGTGGCACCTTAAACACTGTAAGTTGCAGCGTCTCGTAAGTTGTGGCACACACACACACACACATGTCGTGCGTAGCTCGAGTGGCCTTGCAATTCACATCCGCCGACCCCTGCTTGCCAGGGGTGAAAATATGTGTAAAACATTTGACTGCCCCCTTTCCCCTTTCCCCCGTCCCCTGGTGTCCTCCTTCCCCTCCTCCTCCTCCCCCTCCTCCTCCTCTTCCTCCTTCTCCTCCTCCTCCTCCTCCTCCTCCTCCTCTTCCTCGCCCTCCTCCTCCTCCTCCTCCCCCTCCTCCTCCTCCTCCCCCTCCTCCTCCTCCAACATCCTATCAGAGGGGGGGTACGAGCTCCCCGGCGCACCTCCCTGGCCCTCGGAACCTCCAAATCCACCCAGCGCGGCCTCCAGGATGCCAGTGGTCCAGGAAGGGATGCAACGCGCTGGGGAGGCCTCCACAGCATCCACGATGGGCCCTGGGCGGAGGAGGAGGAGGAGGAGGAGGAGGAGGAGGAGGAGGAGGAGGAGGAGGAGAGTTGAGGAGGACGGGTGCCTAAGCCCTTCGGAGAAACCCTCCATTTCCGACCCGATCCTGTCCCCCAGATTTGGATGAGGCTTGGAAGACGCCGGCAGAAGGCCCAGGAGAGCCCACAAGGCGGGCTCAAGAGGCACAACCATAGATTCTCCAAAGGTTTGTACATCATTGGGCCATGGTCCCCGAGACGGCCCCCAATCCTCCCACCTTGGCCAAAGACAGCCGAGGAGGTCCACAAAAACGATGCGCAGGAGGCCCAAGTGGGCTCCAAAACTGCCTAATAGGCCCCGACGACCAAGACAGCCAAAGAGGCCACCAAGAGGGCCCCAAGAGGGACCCGGGAGGCCCAGGAGGGCGAACTCATGAGGGCCCGGGAGCCATCCTACACAAGATGGTCCCCAAAATGACCAACATGAGCTTAAGATGCCCCCAAGCGACCCCCAAGAAGCCCGCAGAGGGCCCCCAAAAAACACCCGGGAGCCCCGTGAGACTAGTAAGAGGCCACCATCGAGGCATCTACCATGCGCCCAGGAAGCCCCTCAACAAACACGGGGGAAGACACAAGCAACGATAAACGCAACTACACGCAGACAGCACGACAGGACGCGGTAAACAACGCATACGGCTCAAGAGCCTCGACACGGCCCAAGATGGCCTCAACACGGCGCACGAGGCCCGCGAACCTTGCTACAGTAGGAGCTTCAGAAGAACCTCACGAGACCGAACAGACACAATTGTCATTCTGTCTTCATGGATGTCGGCTTCCCCCCCCCACCACCAGATCAGGCTGCCCTCGAGAGGCCCCTGATACACCGGGCCTCCCTCCGACAGCCACCCGCTGCGGCCTCCGAGACGCCAGGCATGCTCCCAAGATGCCCCCCCCCCGAGAGACCCCGACCTGCTGCACCTGCGGGCGCCGAGCTGGCCCGCGGGCCCGCTGGCACCTGGCCTCTGGAACTGGAGGCCCCCACCAACCAGCACTACCGCCGACCCGTATCAGAAGGCTGCGCGACGAGGATGCAGGCGCATCGGACGCCAGTGTCGAAGCCTCTCGAGCGGGGCGCGGCCCACGACGGTGGCCAAGGATGGACCGAGGAGGCAAGGATGCGAAGGGTACCCTGGGGACGGTTGCCCGTCCTCGCCGTGCGGGCTGCCTGCACGTACGGCGTGAGTTCGGGGCTGCCCTGGGCTGCTCGGCGTCCTCGAGCGGGGCTGGGAGCCCCCGAGGGCCCCAGGGAAGCCGAGCGCAGAGCGCGAGGGGTCCCGCTCCCCGAGCCAGCGCGGGGGCGGGCTGGGCGGCTGGGCGCATCCGGCCTGGCCGATGCCCTCCACGAGGGCCCGGAGAGAGGGGGGGCGGGAGGACTGCTGCTTCATACCGTGCCTGCCGAGGCTGGGCTCGAGCCAATGGTGGGCTTGTTTCCCACCGCCACCGGAGGGGGTCCCCCTCCTCCTCCTCCTCCTCCTCCTCCTCCTCCTCCTCCTCCTCCTCCTCCTCCTCCTCCTCCTCCTCCGCCACCTCCTTCCCCCCTCCAACGTATGGTGGTGATGATGGAAAACAGGCCCATAAGCTAAACAGTGTGTTTCGCGTTCGTGCTGTTCTCGTGCTCCTTCGTTCTGCCTTCGTGCTGCCTCTGCCGCGGGAAGGCATCCGAGCGAGAGCGGCCCACGAAGTCGCCAGAACGCCGTGCAGCTCGAGCCATGTGCCGGAACATCGCGCACTGCGCTGCGAAGGCCAGCGAAGCACAGCACGGCATTTCGCGGCGCAGCTCGGGAGCCTGTGCAGCTGCGTACCCAAAGTGCAACCAACACCAGGGACGCAATCATGGTATGCGTTGGAGACGAGGAGGAGGAGGAGGAGGAGGAGGAGGAGGAGGAGGAGGAAGAGGAGGAGCAGGCCTGTGCCTCCTTCCGTCCTTCACTTACACCCCCACTCCATCCTGGCGGTGGGGGCCTTTCTGGTCGCTCTGGGTATTCGGGGCCTTCTCGAAGGCCACGCCGACTCCGGCTTCCTGCCCTCATCTGGACGCTCGCGAGGAGGAGGGAGAGGACGAGAGGCATGAGATGGATGAGATGGATGAAAGGGACGAGGCGGAGGAGGAGGAGGAGGAGGAGGAAACGGAGGAGGCCGCGAGGAGGGAGGGGGGCAGAGGCGGAGGGGGGCAGAGGCGAGGGGAGAACGAACAAGAGGACCAATAAGCAGGCAAGGAGGAAGGGGAAGAGGAGGGACAGGATAAGGAGAGGGAGGGGGGAGGGGGAGGAGGACCAAGCGTTACATAGGGTGTCTGATTGTCTGGCACGCAGGCCCTGCGTCGAGGGCGATAACCTTGCAAATCGAGCGTGCAGGAGGCAAGAAGAAGCAGAAGGAGGGCCGATGTCGCCACCGCCACGCCGACGCCACACCACGGAGGGGAAGAGAGAGAGAGCAGGAGAGGGAAACCACCGCCGTCAGCAAAGGAGAGCCCCAGCTGCCGCAGACCACCCACAGCACTCAGCCAGCAAAGCTGGGCCCGCAAGCCGAGCCTCCTGGATGAGTTCCCCCGGGGGAAGCTCGGCGGCGGCCCGCACGGCTTCAGAGATTGGCCGGAGGCGGGTGGGGGAGGCGGGGGCCTGGGGCCAGCGGGAGCAATCCTGTGGATGTGGAGAGCGGCCACCACCCTCCTGATGCCCCTGGGGGAGGGGTCCAACAGGGCGAACTTTGCAGCTGTGGTCTCTGGGAGGGATCCCCCCACTGCTAGAGACCACCATGCGTTATAAAGTGTCTGCAGGAGTGGTCGTGTCTCAAATCGTCCCATGCGCGGCGCCCGAAGACGCACGTGTGCGATTCTTGCTGGAGCCGGTGTTCGGTGGTCCAGTTGCCGCACCAGGTCCCCAGGCCTGCGAATGCTCAGGCAACTGGGACCTTGATGAGTTCAGCCCGGAGAGCCTCCCCTGGGAAGACAAAATCGGGTGGCAATTCTCCGGGCGAGGCGCACCAATTTTGGGAGCGGGTGGAAAAAGGAGCGAGGCGAAGTCGTCGGGGAAGAGGGAGGAGACGAGAGAGCGGTAAAGGTGGGACTGGGGACGAACGTTAGGAGTGTCCCTTATCGCCTGCCGCGCGCTCTGCACAGCCAGGGCGACGCTGGCAGCTATGCGCCTCTGGGCAGGGAACCCCGCGAGAGCGGTCTGACATGTACGCAGTACGGGTGGCGACCGCCAGAACTCTGGGGAGAGCCATCCATCCTCCTTGAACGCCTGCGCGAGCGGGAGTCCACGTTCTGCGTAAAAGACAAGCCGGGCTAGGAGCGTTCGCCACCACAGGCAGGTCTTCAGGGCGGTGCGGAGGAGGGTGGCGAGGGAGAGGGCCAAGAGACTTTGGATGCGGGGCCCTCCCCACAGCTGCAGGGCTGTCCAATCCTGGCGCCGCCGTGGTGAACCGGGGAGGCGGAGAAGCCTGGTGAGGACATTGAGCCCGGTGCGGGTCACGTCCCACGGAGGGGGGAAGAACTGCGACAGGTACGAAGGGGAGGGAAGGGCACGGGTGCAATACAGGAGGGCGGAGAAATCCGCACCGGCTCCTATCGCTGCGTGCTCGGCTGCCCGCCATCGCCACTCTGCAAGGGGCGCCCGGAGATTGCCATCCATCGTGGCCTCAGGCCCCACCTCAGCGCCAGGACGAACCCCCGAGCCTCGCACTCCGAAGTCCCCCCCAATTCTTGGGCCGCCCTGCGCAGGCACTCTCGCACGTTCGAGGCGACTTCGGCATGGCAGGTGGACCAACGGGGGATGGCGAGGCATTTCTTGGGCTTCAAATGGGGACCAGCAAAATCGGCAGCACATCGAAAGACAGAGGTAAGAGGAAAAAGGAAAGACATGGAATGGATGATCGCTGCCGTATCGTCCGCGCAGCTACGCGTGACTCCCCTGCCAGGCTGGTCCACTCTGCTGATAAAGGCTCGTAGGAGCGAGTCGATCCCAAATGTGAACAAAGCTCCCGATAGCGGATATCCCTACAACACCCCAGCAAGCGACCACGCGAAAAACTACGTGGTACCACCCGTCGCCGTGCACGAGCGCACACTCGTGTACATGTCTTTGACTAGGTTGCGAACGCCTTGAGGCAGAGCTGTGCACAGCAACACCCGATGCAGCCAGTCGTGACACATGTTCGGGAAGGCCTTGCAGGATCAAGCAAAATCAACGGCGGCATGCGGCTGCCAGCCTTGCCCCGGAGACTGGAACCCGCGCCCCGGCGTCGAGGTCTAGAATGTTCATCCCCAGCTGACGGCCGGGAACAGAACCGCGCTGCGTGGGGGCGGCCTTTTTCATGTTCAACGTGAGCGGGCAAACGTCTCCAGCCGCTCTCGTGACCTGCATATCATCCCCGTCCTGGGTGCCTTTGGGGGGAAACACCAGATGTCCCAGGGCTGAGCCTGAACGGTGCTTTCCGTTTTCGCTGTGCTTTCGATGTCCCTCGTTTTGCCTTCAACCCGCCTGCAACGCAAAACGACATCGAAACGAAAACGGCCCATGGAATCGCCAAAACACCGGTTAGGTCCGCCCCTGGGATGCCCATCAGAGAGACCGGCGTGCGTGGGGAGGAGGCCCGCCGCCACCCGCGCACTGGCCCTCGCAGAGAACGGCAAGAGAGCAGCTGGCGCCCTCCGGGCGCAGTGGGGCAAGCCAGCAGGTCCCGGAGCGCTGTGCGCAGCTCTGCGCGGCACCTTCTCGAAGTCCGTGGCCCTGGGGGCACGGACCTCGATGGCGTTCGGCGGTGGACACACCTCCCTTCAGTAGACCTCCCCTCAGTGAAAACGGCCTGGGGCCGAAACCGGCGGACCTGGACCCGCAAAAAGGACGGCCGCGACGCCCTCTCGCGAACCGAAAAACGGCCAATCCCTGAATCGACGCGTCAGGGCAGGAGGTCTATCCGCCCCCGAGTCGTCGGCCCGCTCGGCGAGCTTCTGCGCGAAGCCGTGGGCCGTGCGCCCGAGGGGACCTTCTCGAGGGTCGGGGCCCAGCATCCACGCAGGGCTGCACGAATCGCCCCCGGGGTGGAGACGGGAGCCCTGCTGTCATCTGAGACCGCAATCGCCGACACATACCTCCGGCGGCGAATGGGCGCCCATAGCGTTAAGTCGGGCCTATCCCCCTACAGGGGGATTTTCGACGAAAAATCACAAAATAATCCAAAAATGCTACAAAAATAGTCTGGGGTCTGTTTTTGAATAGTGTTTTTTGTACCTTTTGGGAGTATGTTGTGGGTATTTTTAATTTTTCGTCGAAAAACCCCCTGTAGGGGGACACGCCCGACATAACCATAGCGCGGCCTTCGCCACCAGCGCGCGGTGCCGAGCGTGCTGCTGCTTGTTGGTCGTCGCCCCGCTTTGGAGATGCTGCTCGGAGGCTCGCTTGGCGGCTCGGCTTGCAGCCCGCTGGAGGCAATCGGGGAAATCCCTCCACAAGCCGGCGTCGCCGATGCTGACCACACCCGGCTTTACGACGGCATGGTCTTTGAGGATTGGGAAGGCGTGCATCAATTTCAACATGAAGCGCCACTGGCTGCGGATGTACGCTCGCCCAGCTGAGCGGGCCACTGTGGCCTTGACTCTCGGGTCCACTGGGTTGCCGACGATCTCGAGGTCGCGGAGGCCGCTGGCGGCATTCTGGGGCACCTTCGTCATCGGGGCAGCCTGCGCGGGCGGTTCAAGGCCAAGCACATCGACTTCCTTCAGCGTGGCGGTGCGCTGGCCGCAGCGATGGCCTCGGAGGACATGCTCGGGCGAACGGCCTGCAGCTCCTCGTCCGCGTCCGTCTTGCTGCAGAGTCTGGGCCTGAGTCGATCATGATGTGGAATGCGCACAATGTGACGTGAGGCGGAAGAGGAGGAGGAGGAGGAGGAGGAGGAGGAGGAGGAGGAGAAGGAGGCGGAGGAGGAGGAGGCGGAGAGGAGGAGGAGGCGGAGGCGAAGGAGGGGGGGGGGGGGGGGAGGAGAAGGAGGAGGAGGAGGAGGAGGAGGTGGAGGAGGAGGAGGAGGAGGAGGAGGAGGAGGAGGAGGAGGAGGAGGAGGAGGAGGAGGAGGAGGAGGGGAGGAGGAGGAGGAGGAGGAGGAGGAGGAGGAGGAGGAGGAGGAGAAGGAGGAGGAGGAGGAGGAGGAGGAGGAGGAGGAGGGAGGAGGAGGAGGAGGAGGAGGAGGGGAAGTCGATATGCCTGCAGAGGACGTGAGCACCAGATCTGCCTACAGCAATGCCGACCTGCCCGCGGCCTCGACCGATCCAGTGCGATCCCTCGTCATCGTCGGGGCAGGGGGAGGGGGAGGGGGAGGGGGAGGGGGAGGAGGAGGAGGAGGAGGAGAGAGGAGGAGGAGGAGGAGGAGGAGGAGGAGGAGGAGGAGGAGGAGGAGGAGGAGAGGGAGGGAGGAGGGAGGAGGAGGAGGAGGAGGAGGACACCGACGACGACGACGCCGAAGAGGGGGTAGACAGGGAAAAAGAGAGGAAGAGAGGGAGGGAGGGAGGGAGGGAGGGAGGGAGGGAGGGAAGGAGGGAGAGATGGAGGAAGACAGGAGAGGGAAAGAGAGGGAGGGAAAAGGGAAGGAGGCAGAGAGGCGATGGCCGACGGGGGACTGGGAGCGGGGGGCGTCGGCGAGCGCGAATGACCAGAGCGAGAGCGAGTCTGGACGAAAGTGAGCCCGAGTGTGAATGTATGAATGTGAGCGTGCGTGGGCATCCCGTCGCCGTCGTCGTCGAGATCGTCGTCGCAGCCGCCGCCACCGTCGTACTCGTCGTCGTCGTCGCCGTCGTCTTCGTCGTCGCCGCAGCCGCCGCCGTCGTCGACGTCGCAGCCGCCGCCGCTGCCGTCGTCGCATCGTCGTCGTCGCATCGGCGTTGTCGTCGTCGCATTGTCGTCGACGTTGTGTCGTCGCTGTCGTGTCGTCGTCGTCGTGTCGTCGTCGCCGCTTCGTCGTCATAGCACCATCATATCACCATCGTCACATCGACATCATTGTCGTCGCATCGGCGTCGTCGCGTCGTCGTCGTCGTCGTCTTGGCTTCGGCGTCGCACCGTAGTCGCATCGTCGTCGTCGTCGTCGTATCGGCATCGTCGTCATCGTCGTCGTATCATCGTCGTGTCGTCGTCGTCGCCGTCACATCATCGTCGTATCGCCGTCGTCGTATTGTCGGCGTCGCATCGACGTCGTCCTCGCATCGTCGCCGTCGTCGCCGTATCGTCGTCGTCGCATCGGCGTCGTCGTCGTCATAATATCGTCGTCGTCGTCGGCGTCTTACCGTCGCCGCCATATCGTCGTCGGATCGTATTCGCATCGACGTCGTTGTGTCGGCGTCGTCGCCGTCGTCGTCGCCGTCATCGTCGTTGTCGTCGTCGTATCGGCGACGTCGCGTCGTCGTCGTCGACGTCGTCGTCGTATCGCCGTCGTACCGTAGTCGCATCGTCGTCGCCGTGTCGGCATCGTCGTCGTGGCATCGTCGCCGTCGTCGTCGCATCATCGTCGCATCGTCGTCGCATCGTCGTCGTCGTCGTATCGACATCGTCTTCGTCTTATCGTCGTCGTCGCATCATCGTCGAATCGTCGTCGTCGTATCGTCGTCGTCGTCGTATCGTCGTCGCATCGTCGTTGCATCGTCGTCGTCGCCGTCGTCATCGTCGTCATCGTCGTTGTCGTCGTCGTCGTCGCATCGCCGCCGTCGTCGTATCGTCGTCGTCGCATCGGCGTCGTCGTCGTCGCCGTCGTCGTCGCCGTCGTCATATCGTCGTCGTATCGTCGTCGTCGCATCGTCGTCGTATCGTCGTCGCATCGTCGTCGCATCGTCGTCGTCGCCGTCGTCGTCGTCGTTGTCAAAGTCGTCGTCGTCGTGTCGTCGTCGCATCGCCGCCGTCGTCGTATCGTCGTCGTCGCATCGGCGTCGTCGTCGTCGCATTGCCGTCGTCGCGTCGCCGTCGTCGCATCGTGGTCGCATCGGCGTCGTCGCATCGTCGTCGTCGCATCGACGTCGTCGTCGTCGTTGTATCAACGTTGTCGTGTCGTTGCCGCCGTCGTCGTCGCATCGTCGTCGCATCGTCGTCGCGGTATCGGCGTCGTCGTCGTCGTCGCATCGTCGTCGTCGTCGCTGTCGTCGTCGTCGCATCGCCGCCGTATCATCGTCGCATGGGCGTCGCCGTCGTATCGTCGTCGTATCGTCGTCGTATCATCGTCGTCGTCGTAGTGTCGTCGTCTTCGTTTTTGTCGTCGTCGCATCGTCGTCGTCGCATCGGCGTCGTCGCATCGGCGTCGTTGTCGTCTCGTCGTCGTCGCGTCGTCGTCGCAGTCGTCGTCGTCGTCGTCGTCGTCCGCGTCGTCGTCGCTACCAGGTTACCCGATTACCGGATGAGCGGAGCGTCGCACAACAGCACGACGCCCAGCAACGCAAAGAAAGGGTGCTGGACTGGCAGCTTCGGCCTTTTCGCCGCCGACCAGGGGTGCACGAGACAGACCCCCGGTCCGCAGTCGAGAGGCCGAGGCGGCCAACCAGACGACCCATTATCTTAGCTGCCCCGATACGCCACACGCAACACGTAGCGCGTTGATGCGGAGCTCAATACGTGGACTGAAGACGTGGGCCCGATGCGATGCTTTCGCCAAAACGTGGTCCAGTGCGTGGAGCCAACACGCAGCGCATCGACACGGACGTCCTGAACACGGGACAGTGTTGATACGGAGCTCAATGCGTGGACTGAAAAAACGTGGGTCCGACGCGATGCCTCCGCCAAAGCGTGGTCCAGTGCGTGGAGCCAACACGCAGCGTATCGACACGGACGTCCTGAACACGGGACGTGCTGCGTTTCTAAACGGGCGTATCGAGGCAACTGAGCCCATTATATTTAAGTCGGGCCTGTCCCCCTACAGGGGGATTTTCGACGAAAAATAAAAATAACCCCAAAATAACCCCCAAACACGAAAAATAGTCTGGGGACAATGTTTTGAGTATGTTTGATCTTTTTGGGGCATTTGTGGGTTCATGTTTTGATTTTCGTTGAAAATCCCCCTGTAGGGGGACAGGCCCGACTTAACATTATATGTGAGAGCGCCCCTGCCGCGACCCTTGGCCTGGTCGAGCGGCCTCTGGGCACGCAGCGGGCAGCCGACATCGTCGGGGAGGGGAGCAGGGCTGCTCTCACGACAGCCCGCTCCTCCTCCTCCTCCTCCTCCTCCTCCTCCTCCTCAGCTTGCGGGATTCAGAAGACGCTTTGCCGAGGCAGGCGGTCAGGAGTTCGCGCCCAGTCCCCGCTCGGCGAGTAAGAAATCCACCACAGGCGGCGCAGTGACAGACAGGTAAGAGGCGATCTTCAGCCCAAGCTAGGCGCAGCTTGTGCCCCTTGCGAGGCTGTCGTAGGAGGCTGGAGATAGCTGGGTTCATGCCAGGGCAGGCATTGGTCCTGTTCAATTTAGCCAGGCTCTTTTCCAAGGAAACAACGATCTCGTGCTGGTCCTGGATCTTTGGGCGGGCTTCTGTCGCATCGTCGTCGTGGTACCGTCATCGTGTCGTCGTCGTATCGTCGTCGTATTGTCGTCGTCGTACCGTCGTCATCGTATCGGCGCCGTCGTCGTCGTATCGTAGTTGTCGTCGTCGTCGTCGTCAAGGTCGTCGTCGTATCGTAGTCGTACAATCGTCGTCGTCGCATTGTCGTCGTCGTCGCCGGCGTCATCGCATCGTCATCGTATCGTCGTCGGCGTACCGTCGTTGTCATATCGGCGTCGTCGTCGAATCGTCGTCGTCCTATATGAGTCGTCGTCGACACATCGTCGTCGCCGTCGCCATCCTCATCGTCGCATCGTCGTCGTACCGTTTTCGTCGTATCGCCGTCGTCGTGTCGTCATCATAGTCGTCGTCGTCGTCACATCGTCGTCGCATCGCCGTCGTCGTATCGTCGTCGTCGCCGTCGGCGGCGTCGTCGTCTTATCGTCGTCGGCGTGTCGTCGTCGCCGTCGTCGTCGTCGTTGTCGCCGTCATCGGCGCATCGTCGTCGCATCGTCGTTAACTTATCGTCGTCGTCGCATCGTCGTCGTCATCGTCGTCGTCGGCGTCGTCGCATCGTCCTCGTATCGTCGTCGGCGTCGTTGTCGTCGTATCGGCGTCGACGTCGTCGTATCGTCGTCGTCCTATCGGAGACGTCGTCGTCGTCGCCATCCTCGTCGTCGTCCTCGTCACCGTCGTCAGCGTCGTCGCATCGCCGAAGTATTGTCGTCGTCGTACCGTCGTCGTCGCCGTTGACGTGGCCGTCGTCGTTGTCGCATCGTCATCGTGGTGTCGTCGTCTTATTGTCGTCGTCGTCGTCGTGGTCGTGGTCGTTGTCGTCGTCGTCGTCGTCGCCGTCGTCGTCGTCGTGATCGCAGGATCGTCGCTGTATCGTCGTGATCGTGTCGTCATCGTCGTCGTCGCATCGTCGTCGTATCGTCGTCGCCGTCGTCATCGTCGTGTCGGCGTCCTCGTCGTCGTCGTCGTGGTCTTCATCGTCGTCATCGGCGTCGTCGTGGTCGTGTTCGTCGTCGTCACCGTAACGTCGTCGTCGTATCAGCATCGTCGTCGTATCGTCGTCGTATCATCGTCGTATGGTCGACGTCGTCGTCGTCGTCGTCCCCGTCGTGTTCGTCGCCGTCGCGTCGATGTCGCATCGCCGTCGTCGTATGTCGTCGTCGTATCGGCGTCGTCGTTGTCGTCGTATCGTCGTCGTGTCGTCGTCGTCGTATCGCCGTCGTCGTCGTCGTCGCCGTCGTCGTCGTCGTGATCGCAGGATCGTCGCTGTATCGTCGTGATCCTGTCGTCATCGTCGTCGTCGTCGTCATCGTCATCGCCGTCGTCGTCGTCGTCGTCGTCGTCGTCGTCGTCGCCGTCGTCATGTCGTCGTCGTATCGTCGTCGTCGTCATATCGTCGTTTTATCGTCGTCGTCGCATCGTCGTCGAATCGTCGTTGTCGTACCGTCGTCGTCGTATCTTCGTCGTCGTCGTGAAGTCGTCGTCGACGTATCGTCGTCGTCGTCGTCGTCGTGGTCGTGGTCGTCGTCGTCGTCGTCGCAGTCGTTGTCGTCGACATCGTCGTGATCGTCGTCGTAATCGTCATCATCGTGATCGTGGTCCTTGTCGTCGTCGTCCTCGTCGCCGTCGTCGTCGTCGTCGAATCGTCGTCATGTCGTCGGCGTCGCATCGTCGTCGTCGTCGCACAGTCGTCGGATGGTCGTCGTCGTATCGTCGCCGTCGTATTGGCGTCGTCGTCGTCACCGTCGTCGTATTTCCGTCGTCGTATCGGCGTCGTCGTTGTCGTCGTATCGTCGTCATCGTGTCGTCGTCGTCGTCGTCGTATCGTCGTTTTCGCCGTCGTCGTCGTCGCCGTCGTCGTCGTCGTCGTCGTCGCTGTCGTCGCCGCCGTCGTCGTATCGTCGTCGAATCGTCGCCGTCGTATCGGCGTCGTCGTCATATCGTCGTCGTCGTGGTCGTCGTCGCATCGTCGTCGTGTCATCGTCGTCGTCGTCGTATCGTGGTCGTATCGTCGTCGTCGTGAAGTCCTTGTAGTCGTCGTATCGTCGTCGTCGTCGCAGTCGTCATCGTCGCCATCGTCGTGGTCGTCGTCGTAATCGTCGTCATCGTGATCGTGGTCGTCGTCGTCGTGGTCGTCGTCGTGGACGTTGTCATCGTCGTCGTCCTCGTCGCCGTCGTCGTCGTCGTCGTCGTCGTATCGTCGTCATGTCGTCGTCGTCGTCGTCGCATCGTCGTCGTCGTCGCACAGTCGTCGTATCGTCGTCGTCGTATCGTCGCCGTCGTATCGGCGTCGTCGTCGTCGTCGTGGTCGTCGTCGTCATCGAAGTCGTCGTTGTCGAGCGGGCGAGGAGGGCCATCCGACCCCTCCCCCGCCGCGGGAGACGCAGCGTGGCACGCCCATGATGCGGGGGGCGCCTTGGGCGCCTGGGGCGCCTGGCCGGCGCGCCGCTCGCTGACGCGAGGGGGTGGCGCTTTGAAGGGGGTACCAGCCCGCTCGCCCCCCCCCCCGCTCCCCTCCCTGCCCTCCCTCCCCTCCCTCTCCCCTCCCCCTCCCCCTCCCCTCCCCTTCTCCTCCCTACCCTCCCCCCTCCGTCCTCGTCCTCCTCCCTCCTCCGCCCCCTCCATCCCCCTCCCCTCTCCTCCCCTCCCCATCCCTCCCCCTTCCTTTCCTCCCTCCCCCTCCCCTTCCCTCCCCTTCTCCTCCCTCCCCGGCCCCGAGCGGGCAGCGTGTCGCTCCGCTCCGCGGGGCGGGAAGTTGGGAAAGGCTCGGGGCGTTGACGCCTGGAAGCTGCCACCTCCTCATTACAGTCGGACCTAGGCCAGAGTAACACTCTTCAAAAACACGAGTAGGGGAACAACAAGTGGCATAAACATAAAAACTCCGAGGTCCGCGCGGACCTCCGAGTTTGTATGTTTATGTCACGTCTTGTTCCCCTCATGAGACCCTCCGCCGGCCAAAACACACAGAACATCCAAGGGTAACCTCCCTGGGATGCACAAGAACACCCAGCAAGCACGAAGAGCATGAGGGTACGCCACTCGGAACGACCTCGATCTTGCACCTCGGTCCGTCTGTACCTACAGGACAGGATCCACACACAAATCGTATGCCAAAACAACATGGAGCTTATTTCCAAAAGTCTCCACTGAAACGTGCCGACCTGCGAAGAGCGGCGTGCAGGCTCAGTTCTGACACCACCGCCCGCCCGAATCTTTGGCGCGACACGCGAACCACGTCCTAGGGCATGATTAGCGTGTCGAGCCAAAGTGTGGCTTTGGACGCCCGGCACGGGTACGGAAGAAAAAAGTGGGCACGATGCCCAACAACACATGTGGCCCAAAACCGATAGCGGCCGCTGTTGCGCAGGCCGCCATATGTCTCAAGTGGACAACGTCCGCGGAGGCGCAGACAGAGTGTCCTGTTCAAACTGAGCTCATTAGTTCCTTACCCATTTCCCCCATGCCGAGTGGTGGGCCAGAATCGGCGGTTCGACACGCTGAGGAACAGTTTCCAGAAGTCTTCTCCACCTCCCGCTGCCGCTGCTCCTGCTGAGGAACGACTAGAAACAGCGACTCCTGTGAACGGTCGGGCTCATAGCTGTATGCACTCAGAACTGGCCGTACTCCACGCTGCTCCTCCTTCTCCTCCTCATCCTCCTCCTTCTCCTCCGCGCGCTCATCATACTCGTCATACTCGTCATCAGTCCCATGTTCGACCAGCCCTCCTCGACATCATGACATCATCCCCATCATCCACGGCTTCATCGGCATCATCGGCATCATCGGCATTGTCGGTATCGTCGTCGTCATCGTCATCGTCGGCGACATCAGTATCAGCAGCAGCAACAGCATCATCATCATCAGCATCATCATCACCAGATTCAGCATCATCATCACCATCATCACCAACATCAACGACATCATCATCATCATCATCATCAGCATCATCATCATCATCATCAGCATCATCATCATCCTTATCATTCCTTATCCTCATCGTCGTCATCATCACCAACTCATCATCAGCATTATCATCACCGTCATTGCCATCACCTGCATCAGCACCAGCATCAGCAGAATAAGCATCAGCAGCATCATCACCATCATCACCATCATCTTCATCATCATTATCATCATGATCAACAGCATAGTCAGCATCATCAGCTTCAGTATAACCATCATCACCATCAGCATCATCATCAGCAGCACCATCACCCTCACCATTACAACCCCCGCCATCATCACCATCTTCATCAAAATCATCAATAACGCCATAACCACCACCATCAGCATCATCATCATCATGGCCATGGTCATCGTCCCCATCATCAGCTTCATCAACATCATCATCATCGTCATCAGCATCATCATCATCAGCATCATCATCAGTATCATCAGTATCATCATCATCATCATTATCATCATCATCATCAGCAGCATCATCATCATCATCAGCATCATCATCAGCATCATCATCATCATCATCAGCATCATCATCATCATCATCAGCAGCATCATCATCATCATCATCATCATTATCATCATCATCATCTGCGCCAGCATTATTCATCATCATTAGCATCATCACCAGCATCAGCAACAGCATCATCATCTAGAGGCCCCAACGGTTTCAGAGAAGCCGCCTGTGGTTTCGGAGAAGGCTCAGAAGGCCTCTCCGAAAGCGGCAGGGCTTCTGAGAGCCACCTCCTGAGAAAGTCTGTCGCCTCTCTCGTCCCCCCGTCCCCCCCCCCCCGCCCCCCAGCACGCACGCCGCCGAGACACTAAGTCAGTGTTCTTCTTCTGTCATCTCGCCGAATTCGGAATGGGAGCTATTCAACCAACCCGCCATCGCTCGGACGTCCATTGCCCGTACATGGTTCGGCTTCGTGCGGTTGGTATTTCGCACGAGGGGGGCAAACAAAAAAACGATCCACCCGAGATAAAACGCACCAGCCCGAGTGATGTCAAGACCCACGAGGTAGATGTTCCGTTCGGGCAGTGTTCGCACCCCGAGCCCGCACGCCCTGGTGGCCGCGCGCCGCGCAATCAGCCTCTCACGCACGAGCTCCAGGTGCGCCTTCGGCCGCCTCGAACCCAAGCGTGATCCCCACGGTCATGACCATTCTCTTTCTCATTATCCATACCGTCCTCACCACCATAAGCATCACCATCCCCGACACCACGGCCACATCCTCCTCCTCCTCCTCTCCCCCCCCCCACCTCCTCCCACCACTACTAGTACCACACTTACTACTACTACTACTACTACTACTACTACTACTACTACTACTACTACTACTACTACTACTACTTCTACTACCCCGTCTACTACTACAACAACAACAACAACTACTACTACTACTACTACTACTACTACTACTACTACTACTACTACTACTACTACTACTACTACTACTACTACTGCTACTGCTACTACTACTACTACTACTGCTACTACTAATGTTACTACTACTACTACGACTACTACTACTACTACTACTACGACTACTACTACTCATGGTGCTACTACTACTACTACTACTACTACTACTACTACTACTACTACTACTACTAATAGGACTACCACTACTACTATTGCTACTACTACTACTACTACTACTACTGCTACTACTACACTACTACTACTACTACTGCTGCTACTACTACTACTACTACTACTACGACTACTACTACTACTACTGCTACTACTACTACTACTACTACTACTACAACTACTACTACGACTCCGACTACGGCTACGGCTACGACTGCGACGACTACGGCGACGGCAACCACCACTACTACTACTACTACTACCACTACTACTACTACCACTACTACTACTACGACTACTACTACTACTACTACTGCTACTGCTACTACCACTACGACTGCTACTACGACTGCTACCACCACTACTGCTACTGCTACTACGACTACTACTACTCCTAATACAACCACCACTACTACTACTACAGCTGCTACTGCGACTATTGCTCCCACTGGCACTGCTACGACTGCTCGTACCACGACGACTACTACTACCACTACTACTACTACTACTACTACTACTACTACTACTACTACTACTACTGCTACTACTACTACTACTACTACGACTACTACTACTACTACTACCACTACTACTGCTACGACTACTACTACTGATACTACTACTACTACTACGACTACCACTACTACTACTACTACTACTACTACTACTACTACTACTACTACTACTGCTACTGCTGCTACTACTACTACTACTACTACTACAACTACGACTGCTTTTGCGACTGCGACTAGTACGACTACTTCGATTACTTCATCTGTTACTACTACTACGACCACTACTACTACTACTACTACTACTACTACTACTACTACTACTACTACTACTACTGCTGCTGCTACTACAATTACTACGATTTAGGCTACGACTACTACGACGACGATTACTACTACAACTGCGATTACCACTACTAGTACCATAGTAGTACTATGACCGTTACTACTACCAGGAGTACTGCTACTACCAGTAATGATACTACTACTACTACTACTACTACTACTACTACTACTACTACTACTACTAGTGCTACTACTACTATTACTACTACTACTACTACTACTACCACTACTACTACCACTACCACTACTACTACTACTACTACTACTACTACTACCACTGGGACTACGACTACGCATACTACTACTACTACCACTACTACTACCACTACCACTACTACTACTACTACTACTACTACTACTACTACTACCGCTACCAATACTAATAACAATCTTACGACTACTACTACCACTACCCCTACGACGACAACTATTACTGCTACCTCTACTACCAATACTCCGACTATTACTACTACGAGTACTACTAGTACTAGTACTACTACTACCACTACTACTACTACTTCTACTACTACTACTACTACTACGACTACTACTACTACTACTACTACTACTACTGCTACTACTACTACTACGACTACTACTACTACGACGACTACTACTACTACTACTACTACTCTGGATATACGACTACGACTACGACTACGACTGCTACGACTACCATTACGATTGCGACTACCACTACGCCCGCTGCCACTACCCCTACTACTACTATTACTACGGCTACGACTACGAGTGCGACTGCTACTACTGCTGCTCATACGACCCTTGCTACTACCACTACAACTACAACTGCGACTACTACTACTACTACTGCTACTACGAAAAACTACTGCCACTACTACTGCTACTACTACGGCTACTACTACGACTACAGCTGCGACTGCGACTACTTCTATTACTATTACGATTCCGATTACGACTACTTCTACTACTACTTCTATTACCACTATCAGTGCGGCTACACATACGACTACGGCTACTACGGATACTAAGGCTACGGCTAC